ATTTGAGGAAGGTGGATTGACAATGGTACTAGAAGAGATTGATGGTGATTTCGTCTTTGATGTACTAGAACTATCTGCTATATTATGAGGGATATGTTCTTCCATCTCATCCATTCTTGCACTTTCTGGTAATTCATGTTCTGCTAAAAATCGAATTTCTTTACCATTAATAATTAATGCGTTCTTTTGCAAATCAATACATGCCTAAAAAATATAAATGTTCTTTCAGTTTTAATATATTCAATTCTTTTCGAATAAAATAATATTAAATCCGACCTGATGGCGTTTAAGCATATCCAGTCCAAATAACAAATCAGTTCCACGTCCCTATAATCGAAATGGATTTAATTCAAATATTTTAATTTTGCTAATATTTTCATTATATAATTTTACATACTTCCATAATTGTAAACGAACAAAGTAAAAATAAATCTGCTCCGACACGAATTTGTGCACTGTGAACACGACCTATGATTTTGGCCGTTCCCACACCTTTAGCAATTCCGGCAAATCGTTGATCTACAAGCCGCATAATCCTAAAGAAATATATTCTCAATGTTAATAATATTAACAAGGCTACACAAATATTTATTAACGGGAGGAATTAAATATAACTTACCCACAACTTTCTGCACATTGAGGACTCACTTGATTTACGAGTAACAATAAATTTCCACGATTAACAACAACAAAAACAACAAAAGAACTTCATATTTAACCTACTTATAGTGGCTTGAGCTCCAGAATCGACAAAAGCTTTCACTGGATGTCCGTTAACTTCAACGTCAATATATAACATTGTTACCTAATCAAATAATATCATAAGCGTTACAGTTTAATAATAAATAAGTTCAATGATTGTTAATTAAAACGAACTCTGCCAAAAGATTCCGGATTATATTCTAATGCATCTGAAAAATTAGCCAAAACATTTTGCATTCTTATTTCCTCTTCTATTCTTCTTTGTTTTTCAACATCACATGGATCATCTCTACGTTGTGCCATTTGTTGAAATAATTCAGTAAATTCTTGTGGACCACTTAATGCGGCATTAGCAAGTTCTGGTTGATTCTTTAAACCAAATAATTAACTTATATACTTGGACAATTAATGAATTATTAACAATTAATAAGTTTTTTTTTTTTTTTTTTTTTTTTTTTTATAAAAAAAAAGATACTTACTCGAAGCAATTGTTGCAACATATCAGGTCGACTCAATAAAGTTTGACGCATTAATTCATATTCTTCGGGTGTACCGCTAATTATTCGAAAAAATAGATACCAAGATAAAAATTATATTAATTCGAAAATATCCAAGAGAAAAAAAGTCTCACATTGTAGATGACGATTGATTATCGGAAGGACGTATTTTAAGTAACAATATTTCATCTTGAACGACGCCATATTGCTCTAGAGTTTTCTTTGGATCCGTTAACTCTTGCCCGTGATAAAATAAAATCTGATTGGCAGGAGCTGTCCCTATCTGTCACAATTTAACAAGATAAGTTTTTGAAATTTGAAAAAAATGTAAAGTATTGTAAAAAATTTCAAACCTCGGCCTCAATTAAAGCCTTAATGTTTTCTAATTCCATTTGTGAATCGATTTCCAAATTATGGACTTCACCCGTT